GTTGCCAAATTCCCATTGACTCCCATATTAAAAATGTCAACTTCATTGCAGAAATAAACATGTTTACAATCTGGTTCAAAAACCATTTTAGGTTTAAAAAATCTAGTTTATTGTCATGACAACTCTGAGGGTGGTAAATTTTTTGTAACTTATCCGTTTAAATGCAATTAAAGCTTGGATCGATGAATATGGATAATTAAGGTTTTGTACCTTTGATTGACAGGTGTCAGATGAGCGGTCAAAACTAGCGGTCAGTTTGCCCTCCTGCTTGCTCCAGAGAACATTAAAAGTGAGGCTGAGGCATTCTCATTAAAAAAAGCCTCACATTAAAAGTGTTACAGCCTAGAGGGTTAGCAGTACGGATGAGCGAAAAACGGAAAAATTAACTTTAAATGTTCAACCAAAAAAGAGGCGAGCTGAAGAAAACCTAGGGAAAACTGAAACATGAGCAACAGTGAAGCAATCACAGAGAGATCCGTTACTGTCTGTGTGTGTGCGTGGATGAGCCGGACGGACTGCGCTCCCGGCCGGCTAGAGAGTTTGTGTGTTGGGAGGGGCGGGCGCTCTATGTGACTGGCCAATCACAGAGTGTGAAGACAGTCAGTTACCCAATGAGGATTTTCCTTCAGCACGATTACAGATATTTACGAGGTTTACTCGTTTCATGCTCGTATTCGTCAAAAATGCTTTATCCGTTCCGGATACTCGTTTCTCGTCTGAAACGAGTATCCGGCTCATCCCTAGTTAGCAGAGTCAGCTTGTTGCTACATCAGCTCAGAGTTTGACCAGTGTCAGTCCCCCTCCACCGGCACAGCCCAGTACCGTTTTTGTATTTTCCTGGAATGACGAGACGCTTGACGGAGCCAAGATGACAAGAGTGGGAACCACCCACTGGACTTTATTCAGCTCTTCAGAAACCTACGAGTGACGGCGTGGAGGGTTTGTCTATTTTATATCTATTATTTGGACCAGTTCTGTGCAGCCAGAATCTCACTTGACACAGAACTTAATTTGAGTTTGAAGAGTCAGGGAGACATTGAGTTCTGTTTTAAATGTCTAATTGCAAAGGTTTCTAAAACGTATTGTCATTGATGTTACAGCTAAAGTCATTCTGTAGCCCAACAAACAGAATCAGAGTAATGTTAACTGTCACCGAAACCAAAATTTAAAACGGACGAAAAAGTCTTTAATTGTTGCCTTCCAGTTTAATGAGGGCACAAAATAAAACAACAGACAGATGAAACCAGTTCAAAAGTTTAGGAGGATGAGCTAGATGCAAGAAGTTGCAAACAGTGATTCAGAGTCATGTTGACACCCCTCAAATCACCAGCATGAAATGTAAAGGGCAGGTCAAGTTACAGGCTGATTCATCACTGAAGTACACATCCCTAACCTTATTGCTGAGCAACAGAGTTGTCAAACATGTTATGGTATTCAAATAAAAAAAACTGTAAAAACAGACCTATGTCATGTATAAAGACATCCACCTATAAAAGCAGAAACAATAAATGTAGACATATGGCGTTGTTTTTTTTAGCCATTAGGGTTAGGGTTAGGGTTAGGGTTATTGATGCAAAGCAATCAGTCTTGTCCTGTGTAGACTAGTCATTAATTTGACAGACAAAGTCTTGTATTGTAAAAATTGTTGTGCAAGTGAATGCTAGGCTAATTACAGTTCCAGTAAAATTCCAGCATTATCAACAACAGAAGCTGACTGAATTCTTCTGACGAACTAAATGAAGCAAGGCGACAAATACTAATCAGAGTGATGGTAAATACAGATGACAGCATGCACAGTTGATAACCTTGATTATTTGTAAGTGCATGTCTGTCAATAGTAACATTTTTAATGAATTAATTTAGATCAGATTTGGAAACTGTAACATTTTTTAGTATAGTGGATGCATAAGGGAACAGAGACTGATTTAATAATGTTACAGCTACTTGTTTTGTTTTGTAGAGTAGTATAGTTAGACTTTTAGAAATGTATGGTCTACAAATAGCATAAAAAGATATATCAACTTTTATTCTATTATTATCCATTTCTCAGGTGTATTTTCATGTGAGCAGTGTTTCTGTTGGTGTGTTTATGAACAGAGAAAAGCTATTGCACAATAGTCTGAAGATGTGGATGTTCTTTAAAGGTATAATATGTAAGTATTTTACAGTAAAGTAATCATCAAAATGTCTAATATCTCAATCACGTTGGAAGGAAGGTTACAGTAAAACAAACTTCCTGGAGGATTATCAGGTTTTTTTCCCTCTTTTTCAAAATGGCCAAAGAGGTACGCAGTCTTTGTTTACAACAAGCAAATACTGCAGCGTCTGCATTGTTTTGTGTGTGTGTGTGTGTGTATGTCCTGTCTGGCTGTGAAGCAAACAGAATTGATGTCTGAATGCTGGTGACAAGCCTTACAGATTTACTCTCAAGTGGAGCATCAAAGCGTCTGCTTTTAATGTCACGCCCGATACTTAAAACTTTATTGTTATTGTTTTTGAATGCTTTTTAATTCCGACCAGACGCGGAGACAGAGGTGAAAAAGAAAGGAAAAGACAAAAAAAAAGGGGGGGGGGGGTGGTGGGTGTTCCACAAAAGTAAACAATAATGAACAAGAATCTGCTTCTATACCTGCAGAAAGAGAGAAGAATAAAAAAAAAGACAAAAAATATGGGACACAACAACAATATAACAAGATCAAGCTATCACTGCGTCAACTTGATGAAGAAATATATAATCAACATTGTTTAACTGAACAATCACACGGTAATAAATCACAGTGCATTAAGTGCCCACCATAGCCTTAAGACCTGTGTTGAACGTGCCCAAATTCATACTAACGAGAGCACCATGTGAGCACCTGTGTGTGTACACACGCTTGTTTATGTAAGGTTTCTGTATAGGAGCGTCCAATAGAGAGTGTGAGGGGCCACAGATCTGCCCCCTAAAGATGTGTAGGAGACGGAGGGAGCTCCAAGTCCCAGAGATCCAGGAGTTGTCCCAGAGCACAGGAACTCCAGGGAGACTGCGACCAGAAAAGCCCCCGCTCCCCTCGAGAGGCGCAGGGGATCGCCCCGGGGGCCACAACCAGCAGCCGGTAGAGTCCCGGGAGATATCGGCGGCTAGCCCACAGGCCCGCCTGCAGCCTCCCACCCCCTAGCCGGCAGAGCCCGGGACCCAATGACATGGGACCCAGGGGCGACCACCCCCACGGGGGACCCAGCAGAACCCAGGGACCCAGACCCCACCAGGCAGCCACCGGGATTGGTCAGGCAGATGCCAAAAATCTTAAATCCCCTGACCCGGGATCCACGACCTAGGCAGACCAAGGCACCACACTCCACACCAGGTGTGGCAGGGAGAGGGGAGACAAAGATCTATATCATCAAAAGATGTCCCAGGAGAAGGGAGGAGTCAAAGGCCCCATCTGACATATACAGTCATAAACAAACACACACACTCCCTCCATCATGCTCACAAAAACACATACAACCAAAGACTTACAAAAATGCATGCCGGACACCCACTCATGCTCACCATACACACCCTATTCACTCTGGTCCCGGTACTGCTGCACATGGGGTACAACCATTGCCGTTCCCAGAGTTTGACCCTTTCTGCTGGGGTGCTGATGAGCAGGCTCCCACGCCCAACGCTGAGCACAGCAACCCACCACCCCAGACCCCAACCAGACGGCCGGATCTCCCTCCTCGCCTCCAGCCCCAGGAAGCCAAGCGACAACAGAGGTGTGCTAAGACCCCTAGTCTCCCTCCGCCTGCTCCAACATGGTGTTAGTGAGTGTTGATGAGGTGTATTCCATGGGTTTGTTGAGCGGGCTGTGCGGGCATTGTCTGGCCTATGCCAGCTGATGCAACCACACCACCCCACTTGCACCCACAGCCCTCAGTGTCTAAGTGCAGTTTAAAATTGGAAGTGGGCACCGGCACTTGGGATGAGGCTGAGATATCCCCCTGCCAAATGCCGTTGAATGTGATCACACCCAAGGCCCTAAGTGTGTTTGCGTGGAATGTCGTTGGTGGAAGTGTATAAGGTGCAGATAAAATTGGGGGGCAGGTTGCCACAAGAATGCGGAAATGGGGTCCATACCCGCACTCCCTGACTTGTCCACCCCCCCAAGGTCCTATGTGCATGTTTGTGTGATGATGTGAGGGAGCAGGAGGAGAGAAATGTGTGGGGATGGGGAGGAATGGCTGGTTGGGCAGAGAAGAGATATTGCACAATAGTCTGAAGATGTGGATGTTCTTTAAAAGTATAATATGTAAGTATTTTACAGTAAAGTAATCATCAAAATGTCTAATGTCTCAATCACGTTGGAAGGAAGGTTACATTAAAACAAACTTCCTGGAGGATTATCAGTTTTTTTTCCCTCTTTTTAAAAATGGCCAAAAGGTACACAGTCTTTGTTTACAACAAGCAAATACTGCAGCGTCAGCATTTGTAACATCAGCCGACAAAACACAGCAGCGTTTCGTAAAGATCCTAAGTCAGTCACGGGAGCGGCGCAGAAGTTGTTTGTGGTACCACTTTGAAGCCAGTAAAGTAGAAGCAAACACTCAACTCTGAAAAACTAAAGCTACTTTTTCTACTATCAACAACTCTATATTACAGTTAAATAACTGCCCAGTGAACAAAAATTTGCCAACACAAAAAAAAAAAAAAAGGTTGCATGTTCTAACATGTTTCTGGACAGCCTGTAGCTTTGATTATGACATGCATTAGCTGTGGCTTTGTTTCCATAAGCTTCTGCAATGTCACAAGGTTTATTTCCATCCAGTGTTGCGTTAATGTTTCACCAAGGTCTTACATTGATGATAATAGAGTCCAAAGCTGTCTCCAGCAGATCCCAATGTTTATCTTTGGGCTTAAGATTTGGACTCTTTGGTGGACAATCCATGTGTGAAAATGATGTCTCATGCTCCCTGAAACGCTCTTTCACTAATAGAGCCTGATTCTTGGAGCACATCCTGTTGCTGAACCTAGACCTGACCAACTGCAGCAACCCCAGATCATAACACTGCCCCCACAGGCTTGTACAGTAGGCACTAGGCATGATGGGTGCACCACTCCATCTGCCTCTCTTCTTACCCTGATGCACCCATCACTCTGGAATAGGGTTCATCTGGACTCATCAGACCACATGACCTTCTTGCATTGCTCCAGAGTCCAATCTTTATGCTTCCCAGCAAATAAATTGCAGTAGCCTTCAAAACTCACGGAACAAGAGTGACAGCCACACTTGTGGGACAGCAGTAGCTCAGGAGGTAGAGCGAGTTGTCCAGTGATTGAAGGGTTGCATGTTCGATATACAAATACAGAACATTTACTAATTGTGTTTGGAAAATGGGCTGCAGTAACTAAATTTAACTGCAGGATGTCATCGTTTTTTTTTTACTTAAGATATCCTTAAAAATCCTTGAAGACCTGAGTAAATGAAATTGTGTATTTTTTATTTATTTATTTTTTTCATTTACTTATTTGGTTTATTCTAACAGGATTTCTCTGAATTGACCATGAGTCTGGAAGACAGAACATATTTAGGTTAAAAATTATTTTCTTTCTTTTAAATTGCCAATAATAAATCTTAAAATCAAAATGATTGGCTTTTTAGGTTTATTACCAACAGACACAGCACTAGGAGACTTTTATAAAACCTGAAAACATGAAAAGCAGAAAAGAAAAGAGAAAAAAATAAAAACAAAGTGCAAAAATATGAGTCACCGTAAAATAATCTAGTTAATTTACAAACAACTAGCAAATGCTGAAAAAGTTCACAATATTTTGTTCTTTCTGCCAAATTAAACCCCAAGCATAATGTCAATACTGAGTGGATATTGTTTTTTAAGTACCTGGGTGAGATGTCACATCCTTGGCGCATAAAGGCTCCAAGGGAGAACCACAGGCTGTTGAAAATGCCAAACTCGTTAGTCGATTCATTGGTCTGAATCTGTCCATCTTCATACTCTTCAGTGTGCCACTCATAGGGGCTGAAGCGGCTGACGAGGAACAGTACCACGCTGACGCCAATGTAGGCAAATACAATACACATCCAGATCTCATAAGCCAATGGGTCCAAGAATGAGAAGACTCCAGGTTTGGATTTCTGTGGTTTCTTGATCATGATGGAGATCCCCAGTGACATGAATGGTTTGGAGAAGTCAATCACCTCTTCTCGTACCAGTGTGATAGTCAAAGGGGCCACTGCGATGTCTGCTTTCTGTCAAGCCAACAGGGGAAAACTTTGATAAGATTAGCAATCAAAATAACACATCAAATAGTTCCAGGCCAGACTGTCAAATGCAAATCTGAATTCACAAACTTTTTCATGGTGACACAGTATTTATGTTGGCAATAAAGGTAAAGCATTTCAACTGTGTCCTTAATAAAGTAGACTAACTCACCCCATACACCAGCTCTCCAACCATCCCATTCCAGATTTTGGTCTCTGCGTCTCTGGCTCCATACTTCCCATCATTAACAATTTTAAGCTGATACTTGAAGCCACAGTGCTTTGCAATCTCTGCAGCCAGATCAACACAGTAACCCTCGTAACGTTCATTATCCACAAAAAGGTCAGCATTCTTTTTCGTCATGACATATGGAGCTTCCTAAAAGAAGGGAGATAAAAACCAAAACATTAGTTGTGTCTGGTCTAGCTGTGTATGGTTCATATTAAATAACATATCTTTATATGTAAGAAAATCCAAATGTATTTTTTCTTGTGAAAATACAATGTTTTTTTTAATTAACTAAACTCCGGAAAATATTTGCATTAATGCATAATCTTCCCCTATAGCTTCCTAAGGACTGAAGTAAATGGTCTATATTTGATATAGCGCCTTCTAGAGTCCAGGAACCCCCAAGGTGCTTTACAACACGATCAGTCATTCACTCATTCACACGCACACATATTCACACCCTGGTGTAGCTACAGCTGCCCTGAAGTGCACTGACAAAGGTGAGGCTTCTGAGCACTGGCACCACCGGTCCCTCTGACCATCGCCAGCAGGCAAGATGGGTTAAGTGTCTTGCCCAAGGACACAACAGCAGAATTATCTGGTCTGAGCTGGGATCAAACTTGCAACCTTCTGATTACTGGACAACCCGCTCTACTGCTGTCCCTCGAGTGTGACTGTCACTCTAACAATGGTGGTGAAGAAATATATTAAATCTGTGTTGAAGGTGTCCCATGCAATCAATTTACCAAGATGGTGGTGACAATAACTGTTTTGTTTTCCATTCCCGTTGTGTCATTTGAAAAGATGTCGGATTTGTTGACAACCATTTTGTCAACTTCGTTCCAGTATCCAATCTGTAGGAACATTTGAATGAAAACAAAGCATTTGTGAGGTTCAGTGTTTTGCGAGCTACATTTTATACAAAATGAACCCAACATTCAATGCATGTACAAGATTTAAAGATGTGAGACCCAAGCATCAAACATGTTTTTTTTTAGTTAAGATGACCAGTCAGATATTTACCTTTACAGGACCATTGCTTTTTAATTCCATTATGCTCACAGAGTAATTGACTCTCTTGCCATGTTGATCAAACTGAATATTTCCTGTAATCCCTTCCACATGAACCTGAGAAACACAAGATAAAGCACAGGCATCATGAAACTGTTGTGTTTTTATCTAGGTTACTTTCCATCATGACAAAACACTTTTGAATAATACTTCCAGACAGGACCTAGAGAAACTCATTCATGTGTTCATCTCCAGCAGGCTGGACTATTGCAGTGGTCTTTTGACTGGTCTTCCCAAAAAAAAAAACTGTGAAGCAATTGCAGCTTATTCAGAACACTGCTGCTAGAGTCTTAACAAGAACCAAAAGAACAAAACACATTACTCCTGTTCTGAAACCTCTACACTGGTTACCAGTAAACTACAGAAACAATTTCAAAGTACTTCTACTAGTTTATAAATCACTCAATGGCATGTGGCCATAATACATGTCAGATATCCTTCCTGTATAGATGCCCGCAGAGCTCTGAGATCCTTAGGAAGCGGTCAGCTAGTAGAACCCCGGGTCAGAACCAAACAGGGTGAAGCTGCTTTTAGACACTATGCTGCTCACAGATGGCCTTTGAACAAATGTTCTTAAGGTGCACCTTCTGCACTGTATTTGCTCACCTTTTACCTTTGTTTGTTTTTAATTTTTAAATTGTGTTTTCTGTCATGTTGATTTTAATGTTCTTCATATTCTTGCTAATGGAAAGCACACTGAGTTGTCTCTGTGTATGAAATGTGCTATTGTGTTGAAAGAAAGCTGCCTTGCCTTGCTTTGCCATATAGGTTTCTCATTGTTAATACTGATTAGTTACAAAGAAATTATTATGAAAAGCAACTAAAGCAACAAATGAATTTCAAGAATGTAAAAACATCTTTCTAAAATGTTTTATCAGTTATTTAATCCGACACAGTTTCCCTTCATTGATTGTCCCAAATGAAAACTAAATAAAATAAAAATTTTGGATAGCTATGTATTTTCTCTTTTAAATTATGTCATCACCGCCATGGTTTAGCATGTAGTCTTATGGATCAGTATTTCCTCATATTTAGGTTTTGATTTTATAAAATTTGGGCATGATTTCAAATACTGTAATTCAAAAAGTGTTAGAACAATTTGGAAAAACCTTTGTTTGTCGTTAAGTGTATGAACAGTTGTGTTCATTTTAGAACAAATTTGACAAAAGATTTATACACTGTTTTTTTAGTTGCTATTTGTCCATTCTGTCAGCCAGATGCAGCCTATGGAGCCAACAACTCAGTGGTTACCTGCAAAAGTAGACTCATCCAGTCATTGAGTAAATCTGTATTTACTCTATTACATTGTATTTGTATCAGAGCCATAATTTTATCTGCTATGTTGCTAGAAAACAACAGGTAACAAATGGTTAAAAATTAAATATATGTAAAAATCTCAATGAAAACTGTCTTTAGAGGTTTACAGTAAATGCACCCTTCATCCAAACTGACACTTTTGTGTTTTATCGTCAACATAGATCCGTCATATTGATTTAAACAGGAAATTTGCATTCTCTTCTGTATTCTGTATTCTGTATTGTATTCTGAAATGATTATTATCAAGAGAAAACAACAACAAAACATCCACTCTAGCAAAGCATTGGCTATCACACTAATTTTTTAGCCACGGTAGATCTGTTTGAGAATAGACCTTTGCCTTTCTGTCTGAAGAACAGCCATGATAATAAGCGCCTGTACATTTGCAAGCTAAAAGATTGGTCTTTAATCATATATTTGAAGTACTCTCAGCTTTTATGGGTGTTTTTGCATTTTTGAAGATATTTTCTGTTACTATGGCAACAAGTCTTCACCAAGAAAATTGATGCTGGTTACTATGAATATATTTTTAAAGAAGCATTTCCTTTGGTTACTGCCCCCATTCTAGATATAATCAATCTATCCTTAGTAAATGGGTATGTACCACAGGATTTTAAGGTTGCTGTAATCAAACCTTTACTTAAGAAGCCTTCTCTGGATCCAGATGACTCAATGCATTATAGACCAATATCTAAACTTCCATTTTTATCCAAAGTCCTTGAGAAAATAGTGGCCATCCAAGTATGTGAGCATTTAAACACTAATGATCTGTTTGAGGAATTTCAGTCTGGTTTTAGAGAGTATCACAGCACTGAAACCACATTAGTGAAAATTACAAATGATATTCTCATGGCCTCCGATAAGAATCTTGTGTCTGTTCTAGTCTTGTTAGATCTCAGTGCTGCTTTTGACACAGTTGATCACAATGTTCTTTTAGAAAGGCTTGAACATGTAGGGATCAAAGGAACAGCGCTTGGCTGGTTTAAATCCTACCTGTCTGATAGATATCATTTTGTAAATGTACATGACAAATCTTCTTCATACTCCAGGGTTACTTGTGGAGTACCACAGGGTTCAGTGCTTGGAACAATTCTTTTTACTATATATATGTTCCCAATTGGTAAAATCATTAGACAGCATGGGAGAAACTTCCACTGTTATGCTGACGATACTCAGTTATATCTATCCACCCCTTAAGCCCTAGGGTCCCCCAGGCGGTGGACCCTGTGATGTTAGTTCCTCAACAGGGTCAAAAAATCCTCACACTACAGAAGAAATAGTAATAATTCCCATCAAATTAATCAGCAAGCCCAGCACTACAAGGCTATCTAAACTATTTTTACCATTAAATACCATTCTTACCAATTTTTGAGAAATATGCTTCAAAATAGGCCTAGGGCTTAACCCTGATGAACCTAATTGGCTAGTTAGATTACAGGCTTGTCTTGAAGTCATAAAAAATTGGATGATTCAAAACTTTTTGCTTTCAAATCAAGACAAGACTGAAGTTCTCATCTTTGGACCTGAAATTCAGTAAAGGAAATCGCTTAGTCAGTCACCTGACCTGAATGGCATTCAATTAGTCTCCAAGAACAAAGTCACGCCGGGGACACACCGGCCGCGGAAGCGCCAAGAAGCGAATCGCTCACGAAATTCGGCCGCTGGTCGCCTCTCCTCAGTTCAGATCAGACGAGCCCCAGTCGAGGCGCGCCTCGGCTCAGCTGTAGTTTTTCTTTTAAACACTTGGTGTCCTCCATTTTAAACACTTGGTGTTCTCCCCATGCATGCGTGGGTTTTCTCCGGGTACTCCGGTTTCCCCCACAGATCACAACATGCCCTATAGGTTATAAAAGAATTGTAAGTCGCTTTGGGTAAAAGCGTCTGCTAAGCACTTAAACAACTTAAACAACTTAAACAACAACATTTCTTCTCTGCCTTTTCTCAGCTCTTTTCCTCTACGGAGTGTTTGTATGTGTGTGTGTGTGTGTGTGTGTGTGTGTGTGTGTGTGTGTGTGTGTGTGTGTGTGTGTGTGTGTGTGTGTGTGTGTGTGTGTGTGTGTGTGTGTGTGAACCTATGGTATGAGTTGTTTCTGCCAGTTGAATCTCTTGGAACCTGCTCCAATTCTGCAGCTGTATCCTAGCAGTTTCTTCCGACATGGGTACGTAAATAACCATGTTTTTCGGGGGGTCGTACAGCTCCTTGTGTTTCTCAACTTCCATAATCAATTTAAAGTCATCCATCTTAACTGCTTGCCTCAGACTTTCTGCCTCTCTGTCCTGTTTGCTCTGGTGAAAAGACACCCAAAACCACACACCCCTGCACGTGGTCACCCACGCACACAAGTTTGATGTGTGTGTATGTGAGTGTGCTCGTGTGGTTTTTCTGCAGTGTCTGATTACGAACACATTTGACTATTGCGGAATTTTATTTTGAAATGCTTTATTTTGTTAACTTTACCGGCCTGTCTCTTATGTCTAGGTTTGACTTCCTGCCAGAATTGATGCGATTCACCCGCGGCTCGCGAAAAAAATAGAGCCGACGCCGAAATGATCGCTGCACAGCGCGGGCTGGAGCGCCGGCGCGAGGCGATTCGCGGCGCTTCGGCGGCCCATGTGGTCTATAGAATAGCTTAACAAGGGCGCCGAATGAAGGCGGTCCCATTTTCGCGGCGCTTCCGCGGCCGGTGTGTCCCCAGCGTAAGGAATCTTGGTGTTATCTTTGACCAGGACATGTCATTCAAATCCCACGTTAAACAGGTTTGTAGGATTTCCTTTTTCCACGTTTGGAATATTGCTAAGATTAGAAGGAGTGATGCTGAAAGACTAGTTCATGCATTTATTACATCAAGACTGGGTTACTGTAATTCATTACTCTCAGGAAGTCCACAGAATGTAGTTAAAAGTCTTCAGCTTGTCCAAAATGCTGCAGCTAGAGTTCTGATGACAATTAGAAAGAGAGATCATATCTTTCCTGTCTTAGCTTCCCTACATTGGCTGTCTGTTAAATTCAGAATAGATTTTAAGATCCTCCTTCTCACAAATAAAGGTCTTAACACTCAAGCTCCATCATACATCAGTGATCTGATTGTTCCATATGTTCCTAACTGAGCACTTCGTCCTCAGGCTGCAGGTTTACTGGTGGTTCCCAGAATCTCTAAAACAAGGATGGTAGGCAGATCTTTGAGTTATCAGGCTCCTCTCTTGTGGAACCAACTCCCAGCTTTAGTCCGTGAGGCAGACACCTTGTCTACTTTTAAGACTAAGCATAAAACATTTATATTTTTATAGGGCCTATGGTTCAACTCTGATGTTAGCCTAGATCTGGACAAGTGGGGGAGTAGAGGGAGGTGGAGTGTACAGTCGGTAAAGACGACTCTCCCTTGCCGTGCCTCCAACATGCCTCCATCTAAAAGGCAAGGTAATCCAGAGTTATTTCTGTAGTTATGCTGCTATAGGCTTAGACTGCTGGAGGACACACTGACCACTTTCTACCCTCTACTACTTTATTCTACAATCTGCGCTTTAACTGTATTATTTCATGCAATTTTAGCTGTTAACTTTATTTTTTCTTTAAGTGTATTTCTCCCCAGAATAAGCTACAATGATGTTCTGCTGAGCGGTGGTAGCCTCATGGAGGGGGCCATCGTCTAGCACACTGCTGCTAACCACTTGTCGTGATTTGGTGCTATATAAATAAACTTGAATTGAATTGAATTTTTTTATCACAAATATGGGATGAGTAATGCCATGTTTCTGTTTTATCATTCTTAATGTATCCTTTTCTTACAGTTGGAAATAGAGACTTTCAAAGGATCTTTGTCAGGTGGCTGAAAGCTTAGTGTCGCTGTCTGGTTTTATTGAAGTAAAATCAGATCAGAGAACCAAAGCACACAACAGTGGCCATCCTTTCTAGCTTTCATTGCAGCTTTCTATTTGTATCTGCCATTTTAGAATGCTTATCAGCTTAAACCTTTGCGTATTAGCTCCAAAAATGTATTGTACAAAAGGGTTTGACGGATTTTTTTGTAAAAGTTATCTTGCTATTATGCTTTTATGCTGTCATACTTATCAAAATAACAGCCGCCTAGATATATTTCTTCCAACGAGAACCAAAACACAATCTGACAGTTAAGATTCTTTGATCATGAAAACATTCAAAATAAAACCATCCTTTAGACTGCTTAATTTATCATTTCACTAATGGATTCATGGAGTTTGTACCTGTTTCAGTGCCCGCTCAATCTCCACTCCCTGAGCCCATGGTACAGCCGGATTGGCCAGGCAGTCACCGGTATTAGCCCTCCTGGTGAAGTCAATGCGCTGTTTGTGTAGGTACTGGAAAGCTTCTGTCATCACCTGAACAGCGTCGTAGGTCAGAGCTGATGTGTACTACAGGAAAAAAAGGAACATGACATGAGTTTCCTTAAAAGGTCCTGTGAGTTTGAATCTTGATGAAGTGGGAGAGTTACAAACCCACTTTATGTCATATTCTTTAGTCCTTTGGACTGTATTGGGTTTGGGGGGGGGGGGTTCCTCACCCCTCTGGACTGTGCACCTTAACCGAGGAGAGACTGAACTGCTTGTGATGGATCAAATGAAATATTTATTCACTATGTAAATTTGTAAATATTTATTGAATGGCCAGTCATTCCTTTTTTGCTATTTATTATTTTTGTTAGCACAATTACAAGGTACCTCAAAACCAAAATTTAGTTTGGTTCAGCCTCCTTCTTTTCTCTGCTCCCCGAGCCGAATTTAGACTTGGCTATCATTTTAGGAGTAACATAACGGTTACAATTCCTTTCCCCCAAGCCTTCCAGTTCCTTCAGCTCTGGTGTTTGGTCTTCAGTTTCCAGTAAATCTTAGACTTATTCTTATTTATTTTGTTAAGCCTTCCAATTTTATCTGCCAGTTTCATCTTAGTTTACTGTATTCTTTTTTTTTGTCCAGTTTAGTTTGTTGCCCCCTCATTTCTGTGTTTTACCTCCCGACTCTGCTCATTGTTCTCACTGTTCAGCAATCACACCTTCTTCTTCTTCTTCTTCTCCTTCTTCTTCTTCTTCTTCTTCTTCTTCTTCTTCTTCTTCTTCTTCTTCTTCTTCTTCTTCTTCTTCTTCTTCTTCTTCAATGAATTGGGGAGGCTGGACTATAGTGGAGTGGGGCTGGGCGGTGCACGATTTTTACTCAAGACAAAATAACATGAAGGGATCCGTAAACATTGTAAGGTAACCTGTATGCTCCACAGAAACACAACTCAGCTGAAAAATGTTGGGGTTGCTGGACATTTGGCTCAATTTTATGGCTTTTTGTCAGACTCTGAACCAGGAAATGGCTGCAGGCTGTAAAACACAAGGCAAAAAACTCCAGAGCGACCAGTGACTCTGCCCCCTAGCCAATCAGCAGCCAGAATCACAATGCCAGCCTAACTCAGCCTTGCTAGATACCTCAATGAAGGGACTAAAAATAGGGGATAAATATCGAACAGTGCACTTGGGAACAGTGGTCAGGCCGAGCTGCATTTGTCCAAGTTACTCTGAGTAGTATTCCTAGAAAAATAGCTTAAGGTAATGGAGCTGGGGCCTCTTTTATCAAGCTTGCTTACACACAAAATGGGGTTGGAAAACTGCGTAAGCAACTTTCCACGCAAACTTTGGGATTTATCAAAGAAAACTTTGCAGAAAAATGTGCACAACTTTAAGTTGACCAAGGACCTGGCTTACGCACATTTTGGACATGGAGAGCACCTGCAGTGCTGCTGCTGAGAAAGATAAAATTATGAAATCCTGCAGCATTATCACTTGCACTGCTTCGTTTTCACACAGAACAAGACCCCCCACATGCACACACACGCACGCATACACACACATGCATGCACACTCTCACACACACACACACTCAGCCTGAAGCACAGAATGCAGAATAACAGCAGGGAGACAGATTGAGACAGAATGTCATGTGTCTGTGACAGTGTGTCCTGTCACTGTGACCCGACTGATCATGTGCCCTGCCTAGTTGAACAGGGAAGATTTCCATTTGGCTGACTGGTTAGCACACATGACTTTCACCTGGGAGTCTAAGGATCGACTCTCGATTGGGCCATTTTTTTTTATATCCGCCACAGATCTCTGAAGAATTCACAACATTGACGGCTTCAGCAACGCTGTGCCACTCCGTGGATTTTCTCTTATTGGTTTTGCAAAAGCACTTCCTTTCATTTCTCCACCTCACCCACAGGTACCTCAATTTCTGCTTCTGTGAAACTGTGCTTCCTTGATCTGCCTTGATATACGGTCGCCATGTCATTGGCGGAGCATTGCAACAGCCAGCTTATGTATATACATGAGATCCACAAGGCACTTTGCATTGACTATTTAAGGCAGTAAGTGCGCATGGTGAGGGCTGGATGTGATTAAATTGCAGCTGAGAATCATTCTTATTTGTCTCCGATTTATGAAGCGGAGATTGCGTGCAGTTGTGCATACTCCATGTTTGATAGATCACAAACCTGCTTGGCGTAAGTACATTTTTTTTTGCTGAGCTTAAGTATGGTTTTAGTAAGGATTTCACACAATGTTTGATAAATGAGACCCCTGGTCCAGTGTTCCACGGCCAGGACAAAAACCAGGGTGCTCCTCCTGACTCTGAGGTTCAGCAATCCAACGGACCCTCAACCAACACAACCCCACAACATTCAGAGCCTTAATGAACTCTGGCCAGATTTAATCCACTCCTGGAGCCTTTCCACCAAGGAGATTTTTGACTACCTCAGTGACCTCGGCCCCACAGATTAGAGAGTCCAACCTAAAGTCCCCAGACTCCGCTTCCTGACCGTGCCGGTGGGATTGAGAAGTTCTTTGAGGTATTCCACCTACCGATCCACAATATCCAGAGTAGAGGTCAGCAGCACACTGTCACCACTGTAAACAGTGTTGGTAGTGCACTGCTTTCCCCTCCTGAGATGCCGGATCATGGACGAGAATCTCTTTGAAGCCATACGGGCTCTATGGTCTCAACAAACTCCTCCCACATCTGTGTTTTTGCCTCTACGATCACCCGAGCCACATTCTACATGGGCTGCTGGCACCCATCAGCTGCCTCTGGAGTCCCACAGGCCAAAAATGCCTGATAGGACTCTTTTCTCAGCTTGACAGTATGCTTAAATGTCACTGTCCACCTGCAGGTTTGGGGGTTGCCAACATGACAGGCGACCAGACAACCCTGGGGTCACAGCTCCTCCTCAACAATGGAAGCACAGAACATGGTCCGCACGGACTCAATGTCCCCCGCTTCTCTCAGGACATGTTCAAAAATTCTGTTGGAGGTGGGAATTGAAGCTCTTTCTGACAGGAGACTCTGCCAGACCCTCACAAAATAACTTTAGGCTTGCCAGGTCTTACCGGCACCCTCCCCCACCATCGAACCCAATTTACCACCAGGTAGTGGTCAGTTGACAGCTCCATCCTTCTCTCCATCTGAGTGTCCAAGGCACACCACCGCAGATCAGATGAAACAACAACAAAGTCGATCATCGAACTGCGGCCTAATGCCAGTTTCACACTGGAAGCATCAGCGGTGCAAAATGGTAGCGGAACAATTTTCTTGCAAACTTCAAAGTGATCCTTTTCACACCGGAAGAGTCTTGGCAGTGGCACGGCCTCCTCAATGTGCTCTTCCTTGGACTTGCAAGATTACAAGATCCTTTGAGACTTCAGGCCACAGTTTGTTTATGCAACCAGTCATTGAATCAAAAAGAAGGAAATCACATTTTATTTCACTGTTTGATGTCATATATGATGTTGTTCTTCACCACTGCCAGGAGTAAAGCCGTGAAAACACACCACTGCACTTCTGGTACAACGCTCTGGGTAAATAAGCCATTGAACCACAGAAAAGCTTTATATATATGAAATGGAATTGCTGCAGTACTTTTATTTTGAAATTTACTGGTGATTTTACACCGAAACCGTGTGTCCTGTCTAGCCCCTATATTAACTGCGGAAATTGACGCATCCCAGACGCGGGAAATGGCAAAAATAAAACCTGATCCTTACTTTAGCAGCGTGGCGTGCTGCTTCTGCACATGGCAATTGCCACATCGCTGCTTGTTAGACTAGAATAGATTCTATTTGAAGCAATGACGTTCTGCTGCCGTTCCGCACCATAGATTCTTTCAGTGTGAAACCGGGGTAAGGTATCCTGGTGTCAAGAGCACATTTGGACACCTTCATGCTTGAACATGGTGTTCGTCATGGACAATCCATGATGTGCGCAGAAGTCCAATTACAAAATACAGCTCAAATTCAGATCACGAGGGCCGTTCCTCCCAACCACACCTCTCCACGTCTCACTGTCGTTGCCCACATGAGCGTTAAAGTCCCCCAGCAGAACAAGGAAGTCACCGGAAGGAGCACTCTCCAGCACCTCCTCCAAGGACTCCAAAAAGGGTGGGTAGTCTGAGCTGTAGTTGGTAGGTGGAGGGAGGCTACCCTCTCGTTCCCTGGGGTAAACCACATTGTACAGGCATATTGTTTATCTGTTGATAAAACAACTTTATATTTTGGGGCATTTGTGACTCATATAATGTATGCCTACCCGTATTTTGCTGTCAGCACCAGGGTACTCCTTCTCCTCCAGGGCCTCCCATCCCTGGTCAAACTTTGCAACCATGGGATCATCAAAGTCAACAATTTGAAAACCGGAGACATTTGCTCCACCATACTGGATTTTGGACAAGTCTCCATCGATGAAACCCTAAAAATTGCATGGAGAATATTAGATCCTAAATTTCTGAGTGAAACATTAACAAATGAGCTCTAACAATTATAAAATTTATCTAAAATTGATGGAACTAGAAGCAGTTTTCACTTACCAGATTTGCAATGATGTAGTGATAGCCTTTAACATGTCGACCAACAGTGACGACCTGCAAGAAACATTTCATTATCCATCAACATTTCAACAATACGTTTTAAGAGCATTTTTATCATCTGTGTTAATTTCCAATGTAATTTCAATATTTTACTCAATCTTTGTTCTTCCTCTTTAAATTCAGAAATCTATTTTTTTTACTCATTATCTTACAAAATAATTATTTGACAATTACAAATGAACTAAAACAATAAATACATTGATACAAATCTAATGAAAATGCCTCCTCATTTATAGGACTATACATTTTCATATTCAGTCCTGTTTGGGCCATAAAGATTTTAAAAGGCTTTACATTAACACATTTTTTTCAAGGCTGCCGTGCATCAGACATCTAGAATTGAAAGAAAGGTGAGTTTAAAAGGAAAGTCAAGGTTGTAGTTTCAGCTTTGTTTTGTCTGAAGGACTGAGCGAACCATCCCTTTTTTTTGTATTATATCTAAAAGTCACAAATTTTCTCTTTGCTGAAACAAGTTCCCTTTAGGCGCTCCGGTCGATGGTGATTTGACAGTCGCTGCATTGCTATACATTTGACTGGTTTGAAAATGTAAAATCAATGGTAAATGGCCTGTATTTGGTATAGCACCTTCTAGAGTCCGGGGACCCCCAAGGCGCTTTACAACACAATCAGTCATTCACCTATTCACACACGCATTCACACCCTGGTGGTGATGAGCTACACTGTAGCCACAGCTGCCCTGGGGTGCACTGACAGAGGGGAGTCTGTCGTACACTGGCACCACCAGTCCCTCCGACCACCACCAGCAGGCAAGGTGGGTTAAGTGTCTTGCCCAAGGACACAACGACAGCGACAGACTGAGTGGGGCTCGAACCTGCAACCTTCTGATTATGGGGTGAGCACCTAATTCCTGTGCCACTGTCGCCCACAACTTTATGAAACATTAACCAAGTCAGTGAGTTCTGATCTTGTTTCCCCGAAGATCTGCTGCTTCTATTCAGTTACAGGCTTCTGCTTTACTTTCTGTTTGTGAATTTGTGCTCATGTCTGATTAAAGTAAAATTTAATTAAGTAGTCATTTTTTGGCATGTTGGGATGTGTAAAAGATACAGTATTTTAGTCAGTTTGCTCTAGTTTTTTCTAAAAAAGACAAAATAATAATAATAATAAAAACATCTCTACAGACAAGGTTTTACATAACTTCATGGATTGTTTCAATAAGATGCCACTCATATCGTGGATGTTCTCAAGATTCCGTAGCCCTCTAGCAGCAAATTTAACTTTTAGCCATTCTTATATAAGGTTTACTTGTTTCGAAAGAGCCTCTTTGATAGTAACAAAGCAAAAAGAGGACAAAATAAAACGTCTCAGCTCTGCTTCATTTTAGGCTCTCACATAAAAAAAAATACCCCAAATAAACTGTGCTGCTTGGCTGGCACTTCCCTTTGGCAAGGCGCCTACTTGATGGATATTTTTAAAATGATGCCTCACATCTCATATATAAATGTTTTTCACCCAAAGTAATAAAGTTTAAATAGAAAAGAATGAGCATCAAAGCTTTAGACATGTAGTCTAGTCAGTAATTGGTTAAACAGATGTTAGTAAGCATTAAAACCTAATAAACAACACTGCTCTCATTGGCTGAAATGGTAAATAAAAAAGTCCTGTTGACTATATTTGTTTAACCTGTAATTGTAGTTTTGTTTACAGACTAAATGAGCACTTAAAAGCTTTCATTCCTTTTACATCTGTTGGACTAGTGATTTAGTCTCCATATGCTGTTTTTCTAAATGCACAATTTAAACTGCTGTAATAATGGGTACATCAAGGACAATAACTTTGCATTCTGCTCTACTTTAAATTGCTGCATCTGTTTTTTTTTTCAAACAGTTGCTATGTCGTATAACAAGGAAGGACTTTTAATATCAAGAAAGAACAAGTTTTAAACACTTTGGTGGTGGAATCATGATCAACTATACTCAATAGTACATAAAATGTAATGGATTGTATGTACTTCCTCTTCTGGACCACATAAACCATATAGTTTTTAGCACCTGATCCAGGATGTCTTTCACTTTGTCCTGTTCACAGTCCAGGATCACCCTTTTCTCGTTCTTGATCTCCAGATCTTGGAAGAGCGAGCGATAGGCTTCATCCTTCCTCTCATCTTTGAAGTTCCCCACGTTGATTGCTGTCACCTGCCATTTCTTCTCTGCAGCTGTGTCCAAAACAATCTGGAGCGTTGTGAGGCCTAAAGAGAAAAAATAACAATAAATAACATTATGGTATCTGCTGATAATTATCCAATCATCTGGAGATTAGATTCTTTTATTCGACAAACTGCAGAAGAGAGCAAAAGGATTTTGCTCTACAGGTTGGTTTAGTCATGCTCTATTAGAGCTTCGGCAGGCCCAAACTGTCTTGTGTCTTGCCAATCACAGCACTGTGTTGGTTTGGTGTGCCAATCACAGCACTCTGTCTGTCTGATGGGCCAATCACATCTTTTTATCGGTTTGATGGGCCAATTACAGCACTCTATCGGTTTGGTGGGCCAATTACAGCACTCTATTGGTTTGGTGGGCAAGATGTCACTACAACTGAATGAAATAACAAAGATGGTGGTGGCTCATTTAAAACAGCTTTGGCATCGATTTTGGACTATTTAGAATTAAGATTTTCTTTGAGTGAAGAGCAGATAGAGGTCCTTAAGTCCTTTATTTAGAAAAGGATGTGTTTGTCTTTTATCAACAGTGTATGGTGCCTCGTTGACTGACATCTGTAATAGTGAGTATGTCATGTCGTTCGTTGTCCAATAGCATGCGGAGACAGTTTGAAAGAAAACCATAGATTCTGCCCCAAGACTGAACTCTGTCTATGGACCATGACCAGACTATATATTCACATATATAGAATGATTTGCTAGGCTAGGTTTCCCTATATTGCCTCACAAAAAATACAAAATTACACACACGCACAAAAAAAAACTGAAATGGTAAAACCCAAAATAATTTAGATAACTAAATAAAAATTATATAAGCCATAATCTATTAAAGTGACAATGTTGTAAATGAATTAAAAGATGCCCAGTTGATGAAAAATATTGGCGGTTTCATAACATATAACTGTCACACCCTGTCCTGTCTCCCCTTATGGTTTAGTCTTGTCTGTTAATTGCTCCCACCTTCCTCTCGTTTTCCAATCACCCAAGTTCCCAACCCTATTGTATTTAAACCCCTTCAGTTCTTTGTCTCGTGTTGGATCATTGTTTCTTTGTCAGCGTGTGTTATCATTAAAGCCTTTAACCGTTCCTGTCTGCCTGCCTTCTTCACCCGTGTTTGGATCCTTACCTCCGCCTCGCGCTCCAGCACGTCTGACAGAATGATCCAACCCAGTAAAGGATCCAGTGGGGAGATTCTCCCCTGGGAGTGCCTGCTTCAATTTCTTTCCTCGGACCACCAGCCAGCTTCTCTTCCTCCCCCAGCATCGCCTCACCGCAGACGCCGTCACCGGGCTTCAGACGCCGTCACCGGGCTTCAGACGATGTCACCGGGCTTCAGCCGCGGCGTTCCTCTCCACCCTTCCGGAGCCAGATGAGAGGTTGGACCAGGAGACGCTTCCGGATCGCTCCAGCTTCATAGGCACCCGACTGGCTGTGTGCTCCCCCGGAGCTGGCCCATAGTGTGGGTAAGGATGGTGGACTCCACCGCAATCCTGTGTCCCAGGACGGAGCCGCGAGCTCGCTGCTGCCCCGGCTCGGCGCACCTGCTTGGACCCGCCCCCAGTCAGACCAGCAGTCCCGTCTCCAGTCCAATCCGCGCCTCCGTCATCTGCAGGAGGAGGAACCACGCCCACAGCCCAGCTGACAGAGCTCGCAGATCTGCAGGCGGAGCTTGGCCGGATCCGTCAGCTCGTCAGCCTCAAGGAGTCCCACCTGGACAACCTGTCTTCCCCGAATCACCAGGAGAGGGTTTCAGTCCAGCCAGCAGCTCCCTCATCTCAGAGCCAGAGGAGCCAGCCTGCAGTCCACCCAGCAGAGCTTGCCGGTCTCCGAGCTGAGCTGGCCCAACTCCATCAGAGCCTCAGTCTCCAGGAGCTCCAACTGGACACTCTATCCTCCCTCCTCTCCCAGTTTCCACCACCACCAGTTCAATCGCATCCAGTTCCAGCGGTGGTCCCGGAGGTCGCAGCGCATCCAGTCCAGCCTGTCCAAGCGGTCCCGTCTGCAGCAACTCCTCCTCCACTCCAGAAGCCGGCGGTCCAGAAGCCGGCAGTACAGAAGTCGACGCTCCCGGACCAGAAGTCGACGCCCCCGGACCAGAAGTTGAGGGTCCAGAAGTCGACGCCTCCGGACCAAAAGTCGACAGCTCCGGACCAGAAGTCGACGGTCCAGAAGTCGACAGTCCAGAAGTCGACGGTCCAGAAGCCGACGGACCAGAAGTCGACACCCCCGGTCCAGAAGTCGACGGTCCAGAATACGACGGTCCAGAAGTCGACGGTTCAGATGTCGATGGACCAGAAGTCGACGCCTCCGGACAAGGAATCGACGCCCAGGACCAGAAGTCGATGGAGGTCGATGCCCCTTCCAGTCGTGTGGTCGACCCCCCTTCCCGTCGTGTGGTCGACGCCCCTTCCGGTCGTGTGGTCGACGCCCCTTCCAGCCGTGTGGTCGACGCCTCTTCCGGTCGTGTGGTCGACGCCTCTTCCGGTCGTGTGGTCGACGCCTCTTCCGGTCGTGTGGTCGACGCCTCTTCCACTCCAGAGGTCAACGCCTCTTCCACTCCAGAGGTCGACGCCTCGTCCACTCCAGAGGTCGACGGCTCGTCCACTGCAGAGGTCGACGCCCTCGCCAGTCCAGAGGTCAACGCTCTCGCCAGTCCAGAGGTCGACACTCTCGCCAGTCCAGAGGTCGACGCTCTCACCAGTCCAGAGGTCGACGCTCTCTCCAGTCCAGAGGTTGACGCTGTTTCCAGTCCAGAGGTCAACGCTCTTTCGTGTCCAGAGGTCAACGCTCCCTTGTGTCCAGAGGTCGACGCTCCTTCAAGTCCAACGTCTCCGCCATCTCCAGTCCCGTGGTCGACGCCGTCTCCAGCCCAGAGGCCGACATCGCCGCCTCCAGCCCAGAGGCCGACGCCGCCGCCTCCAGCACAGAGGCCAACGACGCCGCCTCCAGTCCAGAAGTCAGGGACGTCTCCTCCGGCGTCTCTGCCTCCGGTCACCACCAGTCTTGCCCTCATCAGGTGCGGGTGCCCAAGAGTCCATCCTCGTCTCCTCCTCTGTCCCAGACGCAGGCCTCCTAGAGCTCATCGTCGCCTCCTCCTCTGCCCTAGACGCAGGCCCCCAAGAGCCCGTCGTCGCCGCCTCTTCTGCCACAGACGCAGGCCCCCAAGAGCCCGTTGTCACCACTTCCTCTGCCACAGATGCAGGCCCCCAAGAGTCCATCGTCGCCTCCTCCTCTGCCCCAGACGCAGGCCCCCAAGAGCCCGTCGTCACTGCCACCTCCTCTGCCACAGATGCAGGCCCCCAAGAGCCCGTCGTCACCGCCTCCTCTGCCACAGATGCAGGCCCCCAAGAGCCTGTCGTCGCCTCCTCTGCCCCAGGCGCAGGCCCCCGGACTCTACTGATCCCTGCCTCCCCTTCCGCGGGCCCTCGGTCCCTCTCGGCCCCCCCTCCGGTTCCCCCTCCTCCCACCCTGCTCTCTGTTCCTGTGGGCATCTGGGATCTGCCCTTTTGGGGGGGGGGGGGGGGGTACTGTCACCCCCTGTCCTGTCTCCCCTTATGGTTTAGTTTTGTCTCTGTTAATTGCTCCCACCTGCCTCTCGTTTTCCAATCACCCAAGTTCCCAACCGTCTTGTATTTAAACCCCTTCAGTTCTTTGTCTCGTGTTGGATCATTGTTTCTTTGTCAGCGTGTGTTATCATTAAAGCCTTTAACCATTCCTGTCTGCCTGCCTTCTTCACCCGTGTTTGGATTCTTACCTCCACTTCGCGCTCCAGCACATCTGACAATAACCATAAAAATCTGTTCTAAATTACATGGGAGCAGGTCTAAGTCTCCGGGCGATGCCATATTGGATGCTATGTTTCCTTCTATGGAAGCCCGTGAGGACAAAATGCATTTGCTGATATGTAACAAATGGTTACAAAACTTTCACCATTAATAAACGTTTTACACATTTACCTCTTCGCTCATTGCCACTGATGAAAGAGAATCTGATGTTAATTTGCTGGAGGTTACAGATTTTTGACCATAATGGCCATCTGTTGATGTCTTACTTGAACACAAAAGTAATGCGTGCCGGCAATCATTTAGGTATGTACTGCTCCCTATCACCAGGGAAAATACACACTGTCACTTTAAACACCATATTTACGTTACTGCAGAATGGCTCACTTCATCATCTGCCTATTCAAGCTCTGTGAAGGTTCTACAGCAACGCGGTACCTTACATAAAGAGCTGATGGAGATGAGTCACAGGTGTTCTGCTGCAAACCTGACCAACACGTGGGAGGAAAATGACTCCAATAATACACTTAATTACAGTGAGACTTAACGACCGGATGGTTGTAGTTCTCAGGATAGGTTTTTGGACATTGGCTTTAAAAATGTTTACAAAATTATCTTCACTTTTAAGTAACACATTTCATTGTAAATTTCTTAATTTGCTTAAAAGATGAGAGGCACCTGGCTGCAGCAAAATGAAGTCACATGGCCGAAATGAACGTAGATTGAACTCCATCGTAAATTACGTCATCCCAGAAATCACGTGACGGACCACACCAACTCCAGAATGTTTATATTTTCTGTAGCAAAATGTGATTGAACGTAAGTGTAAAAGTGTTTTGTTATTTTCAAATGTATGTTTTAGAAGATGCATTAAATTATCATATTATATCTAAGAGTTAATGCACGAATTGCTGTTTCTCATATCACCGCAGAGTTTCTATCTGAATGATTCAAAATTACCAACTAACTTTAGCTTAGCTGCTAAGCTAACATTAGCCTGGACTTTATCATTTTAATCACAAAACTCAACAAGTCGAATTGCCATTTAGCTTATTTCATTCTATGTGTAAATAAAAGGTTTGACATTATAGACAGAGATTCAAATAGCAAGAAAATATTATAAATGGCCAGGCAATGCTGAAAGTACATTAACAAAGTATACACTTAAAAAACCTTGTTAACTAATCCCCTTTTACTTTTCAAATATGCAAATATATTTTACCACTGTTTCATTATTTTCATTTTCAT